TCAAATGTGTCTCTACATCAGACACACACCTCTAACAAAACGTATATACAGATTCCTATTTAAATATAGTTTCACAATTACAATGTCTCCTGGTATTCCAGATTAATCCACTGCAACAGTTGTGTTAGACAATACATTTGCATGCAGAATTCTGGCTTTCATCATTCCCTATACCCTAAGAGACTGACATGAAGCTTTGTTCAGATAAGCAGAGATGAGCAAGTGGTGCTAATCACCAGGCCAAATGTGAAGCCCCATAAGGAAAATAGACTGTTTTTTAACCTCTGTATTTTCAGAATCAGACCTACCACACACATGAATTAGCAACACTTAACATCCATTCTAGTTTCTATATAACCAAATTTACTGCAGAGTGAATTTTACCATTTATATTCTACATTGTTGTAGCGAAGGAAAAAAAAATCACTTATTTCAAGATATTTCAACTAGTGCCATTAAGCTCTCTGTTACTGTCAGTGAATTTGTCATTCAGCTACAGAAGCCTGAAGAATATATGTTGGAAAGGATCACCAGTCTACCTACCCTTTATTTATTATTTTCCCAAGCTTCATTACATATCACATCCAAACATTACTCACTAAAGCAGGTGAACCTCTGATCTGGCCCAGTGCAGCTATTCTACTGGTATGCAGTTCACCAAGATACTGGATTACTAGAATCCATAGAGGCTTTCACTGTCTTTCAGTGTCTGCAAATCTTCATTTTACAGTGCAAGGTGTAAAGACAGCAAATTAACCCCAATTAAGTTTAAAAAACTGAGAAGAATGAATTATCAAGTTTCCCACTATGGATTACACATCTTCCTGAAAATTCTTAAAGTACCCAATTCTTCCAAACGATATGACCGATGCTACCAGAATGAGATGCAGCACTGACAAAAACATGGATTTACTATAAAAACTGCATTTGGTGCCCAGAGTTAAAAAAGCACAAGTGCCCTGATACTGTTCAACATGCCAATAACTTACTATTCATAGACAAATATTTGTGAATATAGACACAATGATATGTGAATCATAGAAAATGCTCTCTCTCCAAACAATAGCTTCCTGAGATCAGTAAAAAACTGTACTGTGCTGCCCAGCCGACATTTTAAATTAATTCTGTGTTCAGACATTAACATCACTTCCACAGACTCAAGGGCCATACCTGTACAGCAAATGGGTACACACAGTTAAACCCAAACCCTATGGATACAATCCCATCATGTTCTTCATTATATTTCTGACATGGGACCTAACATTTGGCCACTGGAAAAAATCACATTGCCTGCTAACAGCTGGCTTTTCATATAATTCCTACCACAGAAAATCATCGTTGCTGAGAAGGACTTGAAGCCAAGGTCTGCTGCAAGGACAGGGGTGTTGGGACAAGCAGTTCTGAGTAATGAGCCATCTGGAGGAAAGCAGTAGAAGTTCAGCCCATGAGCAACTCTGAATACTGGGAGAGTGGTGTACCACTGGAGCCCATCACACTGAAGGAATGCACAGGCCAGTACAACTAGTCACTGAAGAAACAAGTGCAAAATTTCACATAGATTTTGTGTTCTCTCTCACACACTATCCAGAGGGTACAGCCAAACACCTGCCCCAACATCCAGAGAGCAATATGCCCTATACAGAGAAGAATAAAGTCTCTGTGGGCACAGGAGCTACAGGTGATGACTGGAAAGCATTTATACCTAAAGTTATCCAAATACTAACTTTTTTTAGTTATCTAAAAGCATCTCTAACCAAACCTCTCACTACCTCCTCTTCCTCTATATTGGACAGTGACTGACACTTCTTCTTGGAGGTTGTTCTTGCTATCAAACACAGGCCACTGAGGAAACAACACAACCGTGTACTCACAGCATGAAATTACGCTTGCTTCAGACCCATATGATGCAGCTTTGTTAACGTACATGGCATTTGTCTCCAGTACCACAGCCACAGCCTGCTGTGATATCAACATGCATATTTAAAGAAGTATGTGCAGAATACTAAAGGAAATAATTTAAATGCAAGGAGAAATATGTGGTAGAAGAAATTCTGATGTCTGTGTCACATGGGGGTTGTAGTATTGAGCAGGGGAGGGTATACAATATGAAAACACTATAGATCTGTTTTCAGTGTATTCAGTCCATGAAAGATGTAGATGTAACCAGCTTTCTCTCATATCATGGACAGAAATCTAGCTAAAAATATCCAGACACTCCAGCTGTGACTACAACTATTTTTAATTTGAATTCCCTAAAATCCAGGGGCCATAATGCAACAAGATAACTTACTTTCCTGCTCATTAAAGGACTGACACACAGAGGATGCAACTTGCTGTCTCAGAACAGGTTGTCACCTATGTACTTTCACAGCTCATTGATCCACAGGGCAGGAACAGGAGCTGCCTTTGCCGGTGGCTGCTAGGCACAAGTTACAAAATACCTAGGGAGAGGGGTAAACCACAAAAATAAGAGAGACCAGGAGAGAACTGAAGGTTCTAACTTCACATGAACTATACATATGCTATCTTTAGTCTTCTGCACTTATCATCCAGTTAATGGTATTTTAGGTAACTTTAGCATTTCTGCTTTACATGGCCATAAATGAACATCGTACACTGTCATTTTTAAACATGCATTGCAACTAAAGTTAGGATTTGTTTCCATTTTGGGTTCTGGTTTGTTGGGTTTTTTGGGGTTGGTTTTTTCTTTTTATTATTTCTTTGCAGTTTCACCACAAAGGAACACCATGAAATTATGCAGAAGACTGTGTAGCTTCACACTTTCAAGATACAGACTGACCATCATTTGCCCTTAAGAGGCCGAGAGCAAAATCTCAGAGCACTGCTGTCTTTATGTGTGCTGCTGGCACTTATTGCCCATCGTTCAAAGATATCGCAGAAGAAAAATGGAGGAACAGTTATAATGTCCCTAATTACAGCTGATTGTTAAACAGCTTCACAGCCTTTTCCCTAGGTTTACCAGGCTATCAGGCCAGCCAGGCATCAAGATGAAAGTAGATGCCTTGTGCTGCTGTATTTAAATCCAAAGCACAAAGTGAACAAAAACCCCAGCAGTGCAGAAAGGCCAGCACACCATGTAGTTAATCCTTTTGAGTTAGCAACAAGCTGCTTCCTTGGTCTCAGGGCTCAGTTATCTGATGTAATTGGTTTCAACAGCACAGAATACGAAATAACAGAGGGGAGTGTTTGGTTCTGTACAACAACTGGTGTAGAAGCATGGCAAGATCCATAACAATCCAATAAGAATGAACAGGAAAATGTTACCACTACCCTTAGTCATGTATCAGTGGCCTGTCACTGGTTTGAGTCAGACATGTATAACCATTGTAATAAAACCTGCAGAGAAAATGCTAAGTTACTAACGTCTGCCTCAAAAATCTCATCTGTACTAAAATATTTTAAACACCTGCTTTAATTACTACAAAGAAAAAGCTCTTGAACACACTAAAAGCAAGGTCTTCACAGGCAACTCGTTTCAACTCAAATGATAATATTTTAATCAGGCAGCTTTACAGTCCAAGCTTGCTTTAACACTGGCTTTCATCACCTGTTGCTTTGAAGTATTTTCTAACCAGCTGTTCAATATGTATTTTAATTCTTAAGATATAACACTTGTTTTTGTCAAATACACATACAGCCTACTTAGATATTGTCTGACAAGTAATTTTCCGCCCACTTTTTTTTTTTTAAATCAACATTGACAGTCTTGAAGGAAGTGAGGAATCCACCAGAAACACAAAAGCTGGAATATTTCATCCCTAATTCTGTAGCCTTGCACACCTTATGCAGTGGCCAGTGTTTTCTCAAACACCAGGAGCTAACAGATTTAACTCATCAATTAACTGATATTTAGAACTCAGAATCCACTTTCTAAACTGTGCCTGAGTGAGGAGGGATAGCATGAACCATGGAGGCAAACCTTTTAATTTTTCCTCTCTATCTGCACTTGGTCTTTTTTTATATAAAAAGTATTACTAAAAATATATTAAGTGTGTATATATACACATACATATATACACATATACACAGAAAACACACATTGCCCTCTACTGACCAGAGTCCAATACACAAGTGTCCTCAAACACACACTGCGCATCATACAAGATCTCCAATGAATGCTTGGCAGGACCATACCGGTGTGTGTATCAATTCCTCTTACTTGCCGCTACAGTAAGAGGTATCTTCTTCAATTCAGCAAACATCAAGGCTTTTTCAGAACCCAGTTTTAAGGCCTGGGGTTTCTCTGCTTTCATTCCTCCGACCTAGCAATATACATAGCAGTACAGTGGAAGAAATCAAACCACCCACATACATCAATTGCTTCAGGGTTGGTCTACATCTGCCTACATACCAGCACCCAAAGTTCTTGCCATTTTATGCTATATTTGTCAGTGCTCCTTTCCCCCTCCCTCCCAGTTAAGCATTTTAATGAAATATCAGGGAGCGGGGAAGGACCAGAAAAGGGGAAAGTCAACAAGGAAAACAGAGCTGAGAGGCACTGACTGCTACTTTCAAGCAACTTTGCAATTCCTTCTCTCTGCTCTTTTCACAAGTACTGTCATTTTACCTTTCAACATGAATACAAACTGGAAACATCAAACAATAGATCAGTAAAGAATGAGAAATAGTAATTCTTAACATCTCCCCTCCTCCATTCCCACACTAAACAAATTATGTTTTAAGTGTCCACTTCTGTTACTGGTGGGGGGAGAGAAGGGGGCAGAGAAACACTTTAGATCAAAGTTTAGACACATTTTAGACTGAACTGCTTCCTAAATTAAAAAATATTCTGTATTTATTTCCAGTAAGTTAAACTGTAAGCTTCTTGGAGGATCTACATGTTATATTAAGAACACTGTTCTGACAGTGACTGGCCATAATGTACTACTCATAAGTACATACAGGTGGACAGAAAAGAATAGACTGGGGTTCTTACATTGGAGGAGAAGGAAGATTTCTGCTATTGTTTCTATACTCACCCAAGGCCCAGTATGACACAGTTTCCAAAGGTGGAGTACTGCTGTAGAGAGCATGGATATACATGAGGTGAATCATCAGCTCAGCCAGGCACCACCAGAAGAAAATACGAATTATGCCCAAAATTAAGATGCTAAGATTGGTCTTCAAGCTGAAGGCTTCTTGTTTCCTCATCTAAAGAAGAAATCCAAACAGGTTATATAGCACATAACTGACTGTTTTACTCAAATACTCATCCTGAGAACTCTTAAATTTCATTTGCTATTCATTACAATTACTAAGGGGACCATTTGACTATACCATTTGGAAATTCATTACATACTCCTGAGGAAGACTGCTCTCTTCATTCTCAATCTCAAGCAGCAGCAGAAATCAGCAAGACACCAAACATGAACATACACTGCACCAAACTGTTGTAGAAAAGGCCAAGTGCTGTTAACCTGAACAGAACCTGGACATAAGACTAATTCCTGTAAATTGATCAACCTCTAGACAGAATAAAAAAAGATATCACAGCTATGAAGGAGAAAATTTTCTAAGCAGCAGCCCTACCAAACAGAAACAATGACTGCTTGGTCTTAAAATATCTCCAACTTTTAGCAGCTGCATGGGATTGATTATTTGAGGACAGTTCTTCATTTTTTCCTCCTGTAGCATTGCCAAGGTCAGCAAGACCTACATAATTAGCAAGTGCCAGTTAAGTGCAAGTTAAATATTGGATAAGACAATGTTTGCAAGTTGACAGGCTTCTCAAGATGCCCAAGCTCTTACACCGTTACCTATAGTAAACACATTGGTATACTAGTACTTTACCTTCTTTCTGCAGTAAGAGAAAATGATCAAATAACAGAAGCCTAGGATTGCCTAAAAATTTAGTCATGTTTTATACACCTATGATGGCACATGTGCAACCTCTCCTTCACCAGTCCCTAACTAGCCACCAAAAATGTACATACAAAATAAGCAACCAATCCATCTGCACAGACATACTGTCTCTCCAAAAAACTGCAAGCACACAGTACAGCTAACATGCAGTTAGTTCTGCTCATTTACAAGTGAAGTACAACACTCATTTTGAAGGTTCATTTGTACCAGTTAGATGAAAGGTTGGAGACCACCATTTAATCACAGAGATTTGCACAACAGGCCTTCAAACCCATGACTAGAACTGCTATACCTTGCTTCAAGTCAGAAATTCAGTAAGGCCATTGATGAAGTGTCACAGTCTCACATTTTTGCCTGCAAGTGGATGCCAATTGCTAGCACTGCTATTACAGCAATTTCTGTCTTCATCTCCAGGACTTCTGCTTCACAGTGTGCTCAGCAGGAGCCCTTTTCTCAGTCTCAGCTTCAGCTAAAGGGATCTGCAGGTGGTCTTTTCTGATAGCAGGAATAAACACACCCTTTGTATTGTGCACTTTGAACCAACTTCTAGGCACTGCAAGCTTCAAAACCCTTCTCCAACCTCACTTGTCAAGGCAACATCCTCTGCTCACGTAAGAGCTTTGATAACGCACTTCAGCAAACACCAACAAGAAACAGATTAAGGTTGTTCAGGTTGTTCTATCTTATTTACAGCTTTAACCAAATGGGTCTGTGCATATTTAAACAAGAACCTACTGCAAATACAGACATCCCATTCTCTATCTTCCTTCTTCTCCTCACACCTAAAACACATGTGGTATTTACACAGATCTTTGCTCAACCATATCAGAAGATCTTGGTTTCAATGCAAACCTGCTCCCCAATTTTTCCTACCAGCTATCCCCAAGCTGCTCTCAACTAGCTTGGAGTCTCATGTGTCTTTTGAAACATTCCTTGAAAAAAAAAAAATCACCTCTCTGTGGTATGGGTAAAGGAATATAGGTGGAATTTAACACACTTCAGAAACTACAAAACAATCAACAGTAAAAAATAAATTACCTCAGTTTCTATGCAAGTCTATGCGGACTTTTCCTACAACATCCAGCCCAGGATAACAACATTCAGCCTTGCATCTTCCAAAGCTACTGAAGACAAATGAGCATAGGATTTGTCACTCAGGGGTCCACCAGAATCTCACTTTTCACTTTCATAAAGCCCAGTCTATTTGCTGTGGCTCCAAGAGAAAATTTCCAAAAATAAATAGAAGCAAGCAATGCCTAGGCTTCTATACATAAACTGAATCAGCAGTTTTGTGGTTTGATATGTGCACTCATCCACTTTACCCAATGATGCTAGCTATAGTGATAACAGGTGGTGATTTCACTTCTTACTCAAGTGTGCATGAAAATAAGGAAAGCCATAAAAGCATGGAAATGTGGGTTTTTCCTCTGTCACATAGAAGCAAGTTTGAAAAGCAGCCTGCAAGGCACTAGGAAAAAAGTTCAGCAAAATAGGTAGGTCTTTCACATTAAAGGAGCTGCTCAGCTTGCTGAAGTCTGAAGAAAAGCACTCCAAGTAAATCATCAGCTGTTTTCACACCAACATGAGGAGAAAACAGGGTTATCAGGAATTCCCAATACAAACTAGCAGCTTTCTGTGACTCTGAAATATGTTTCAGAGTCAGTAGCCAGCTGCTGCTGAAAAAATGTTACTTTATTCCACCTGACAGAAGAGGAAAACAAGAATCTAATCCACCAGCTGCATGCTAAAAATGATGAACACTCTCCAAGTGTAATGACATGTGTCACTGGCTCCCTGACTGAAGGGATGAATCTGATGTCAGACAAAAAAAAAACATCCCTTGAAGTAGAAGAATCTGGAGAGGAAAGTTTACCTTTAAGTTGATATTCAGGACACTGCCAAATTCCCAATGCTACATCAAAATTATCAGGTCTTAACATTCCAATAACATTATTCAGTATTTTCAAAATTACGAAGAAGATAGTTTTAGACACCAAAACAAATTCTTCATCTCCAAGGTCTAAGTAAAAATTTAAATCCTTCAAATCACTAGTAAAGAAGAAAACTATTACAGAACAAGTTACACGTGATTTTACTGAAGTTAAAACATGCATGAATGAAAACTCCTTTTCTGTGGGTGTTTCCCTCCCCAAAGTACCCTGTTGAGGGAAAAATATTTCATTCAGAAGTAAACAGAGATCAGAGTCTGATAGAGAAGATTAATCACCCAGCCTTTAAAAACTATTTTGCTTTCTTTCCACCCTCTCTAACACTGGAGTCTAATCAATCTCTCTCCACCCATGCACTAGATATAAAGACGTATTTTGACAATGTATTTTGACTAAATATATTCTCATTGCTGGTTACCAGATGCATGCGAGTTCAGTATTATGTCACAGCTGGCTTACAAGCATGAATACCCAAGAATGGTTTCTAACTACAGCCTTCCCTTCTGCATACAGCATACTTCAATACTCAGAAAAGGAGGATAGAAGATGTTCCTAATGTCAGTCTGTATCTGTTTGAAAGTCTCATCAGCATCAATTTTTGTCAAGTAGGTAACTAGGAAATAAATAGAAACTCAGGCTTACCTGTAAACCATATTATGAAACATACCATTAAAAGAGCCACTCAAGGAAAACTGGATGAAATTGACTCCCTGACATTTTCTCAGGACTGATATTAAAATCTCTCAAGATGAGGAAAAAAAATATCTAATTGTCATGTTCTAATCTATTCCTTAAAGTATTGGGTCTGTGTCTCAATCTGGCAGCCGAAAAGAGATCATCATCTGCTTCAATAGCTCCTCACCCAATTCACCTGAGGCAGAGATGCACTGAAAAAACTGTAACTGTGTGATCTTTAAAACTCTGTTACCTGCTTACTGAATTCATCAAAATTCATAAGAGGTCCATTGTGGAATGTGGGATAATAAAACACGTATGCCAACATCCACAGGAACGAGTGGGAAGACTTCTGGGCGGGTCCCTGCCAGCAGTACTCCAGGCTGAAGCTAGTGCAGAAGAGGCAGCGGACAGACACAGTGAAAAGCAGCAGATAATACTCATTTTCAGTGTTGTACCACTTTCTCTGCAAGACAAAAAGCCAGATCACAATGGTTCAACGCTGTGTTTTCTATATGGTCACACAGTGATTTCCACCCAGATCCTAACTTTCAGGGTCACCAGCAGCATGAAGCAACTAAAACAAACAGCAGCTGGAACAAGCATCTGAAGTGAAGATCACTACTTAATGCATGAACAAACACTGGCTGTCGATAGAGAAAGGGACTTCAGAGCTACTGCAACCAGCATAAAGTAACAACAGCTTGATTTCACAAATGTACTAGCTTGTGAAGAAATACGGCAGCAAGAGAGCTTTTCCTA